TAATATCACCAGATTTTATTAGAATTTTATTTTTCCCAAGAAAAATAAGAACATCTGCATTAAATAATTGATATGTTGGCTTAGGTCAAAAATGGACTTGGCTTTGGTGTGCTGCTAAAGAAGTGATGTAAGGAACCTTGTGTGTAACTCCCATGGTATGGCTTCCAGGTTGAAGCGATGTGCTATTAAACAAGATGACCTCATTGAGTCATTCTAGTTTGTGGTGGTTGATTAAAGTTTCTAAATTGACACGGATATTAACAAGCTTCTGAGATTATTTATTCATCAACACTATTACTAGCCTCCAAAATAGACAGAAATATCCTGATAATATAGAGAGACAGACAGAGAGGTTGAGAATCTTAAAAACTGTTAAACATATAGTGTTCTGCTACCACCAGCAGGGAGATGGCCAGGAGGAGCCACCTCTGAATCCCCATGGGGCTGCCAGTGCTCTGGAAGTGTACCTTTGATATGTTCAACTTCCTGGTCTCCCAGCACTGGGTGCTTCCTGAGAGGGCCACCCGTGATGAAGAAGAGGATGAGATACAGCTTAGGTCTACCAGACATGCCACCAGTCTGGAGCTGCCCATGGCCATGTGCTTTTGCCACCTCAAAAAGGCATCCAAAGAGGCTGTGGGTGTCTACAGATCAGCCATCCATGGGCGAGGCCTGTTCTGTAACATTGATGTTGGTGAGATAGTCACTGAATACTGTGGCATTGTCATTCGCTCTGTGATGACAGATAAGCAGGAGAAATTCTATGATGGAAAGGGTATTGGATGCTACATGTTCCGCATGGATGACTTTGATGTGTTGGATGCCACGATGCATGGCAATGCTGCCTGCTTCAGCAACCACTCATGTGAGCCCAACTGCTTCTCTCATGTCATCCACGTGGAAGGCCAGAAACACATTGTCATATTTGCCCTTCGGTGCATCCTGTGAGGTAAGAAGCTCACCTATGACTACAAATTTCCCATTGAGGATGCCAGCAACAAGCTGCCCTGCAGCTGTGGTGCCAAGCACTGCTGTCGCTTCCTTAACTGAGACCATGGCTGCCCCAGACTCCTCATATGCCCACCGCCATCTCACCCTGGCCTGTGACTCCCTAGTCTCTCAAAGTGTTTCATTCCCACCCTCCTGTTCATGGTGGATGTGGGCATGTAATGGGGCAAGGGCCCTGCTTCCACCCCTCCAGCCCATCCAGCAATTGCCCCATTCCTGCCCTGGGGACCCAGGATGTAGATATTGTACAAAAGTTTCCAAATCCCTTCTTTTCTATGCACCTTTTAATTTAAGAGGTGGGGTCCCAGGTGGGAATCACCCCAAAATAAAGTCTGTCAATGTTTGGAAAAAAATTGTTAAACAACCAGTCTGAGAGTTTGTAGAATCAAATGCCATCCCACGAATACCTTTCCATGACAATAACACAGCATTGCATAAAAAAATAATTTATGTTCCAAAATAGTTTTAATACTCATCAATTTATGTAGCTAGTTCATAAAGACTCAGAACTGTAGCTCTGGTTTTGATATTTGTAACAATCTTAGCTCCAACTTTTGATACACATCCTCAACTTCTGAAAAGTCTCAAACTTTAATGAGAAATTTTAAAATAATTTATTTATTATTTTTAGTTTATGTGTATGAATGTATTTCTTGCATGTATGTAAGTGCACAATATCATGCAATGCCCGTGGTGGTCATAGGAGGGAATTAGATCCTTTGGAATTGGAGTTATGGATGGTTGTTAAGCTACCTGTGGGTGCTGGGAATTGAACCCGGGTCCTCTGCAAGAGCAGCCAGTGCTCTTAACCATTGAGTCATCTCTCCAGTCCCAATGTAATGAAAATTCAAGGCCCCTTTTCTTCCTGTCAATTCATAGACTTCCTTTATGAGTCTTTAAATTTCCCTTTGGAAAAAAAATATAGAAACAAATTTCTAGGCACCAAGGCAATTTCCTGAATCAGACACTCCAGAGGGCAGGCCGAAGAATATGTATGTTTAGTAAGAAATTTCAAGTAAGCCTAGGAAAGTCTGTGTAGCCCCAGGTTTCCCTCTGTTCCTTTTATTTTTCTTAGTACATATTTATATACTTAAGGCTTCACCATGATGTTATGAAAAATATACAGACAGTACAATGATTACTACCTTGCTTGCTTCCAAACACAGACCACAGACAGCATGAATCACATGTAAGAACCTCTCCAACTCTAAGCCAACAGAGTTGGCTGCTGGCAGCCAGGTTCAAAGCCACGAGACATTGCTTAAGTTTTCCTTAAGATGTCTCTACACTAGTTCTACCACTAAAGAACTTGAAAATGCATATTCACATTTCGATTTTTCACAGTATTTATTAAATCACAGTGGAGAATAAGTAGAAAAGCTAGGGAAGAGCTGAGGATTGGATTTAGTTCAGTGGGAGAACTGCCTAAGATATGGAAAGCATGTGGTTTCCTAGCAACACACACACACACACACACACACACACACACACACGCATGAACAAAGGAAGGAAGGAAAGAAGGGAGAGAGAAAAGAAGAAAGAAAAAGAAGGAAGCAGAGAAAAGCCACAGGAAAATCCTAAACCCAATAAAGGAATGTTTGAGGGTATCTTTACAGACACATCTACAAAAGCGCAGAATTGGGTATAGGGGTATAACTCAGTGTTACATGTTCCCCTAGAAACTATGAGATGAGGTCCTGGGTTCAATCACCTGTAACACACACACACACACACACACACACACACACACACACAGTGAAAAGAATTTTGGTTTCCAAAAAAAAAGGGGTTAAAAAGAAACATTCTTAAATGGAGGTTCTTCATAAGATATTGGAATTATTTATTTCTATAATGGGAGTGAAAATCAAATAGCCACTCTTATTTAAGATGGTTTTCTGAATAATTTTAATATGCAGCAGTTTTACTGCTTGAATTCTCTGAATTAGATACTCACATGACAGCCGAGTGAGTAGAAGATCATTTGTAAGTACAAACTAACTCCAGCAGTTCCTCTTAAAAATGAACCACACAGAAATCAAAAACTACCCTTCTAAAGTCATTGTTGTAACTGCTTCCTGCAACCAAACGGATTCATTTCTGATTAGGTCCCTTTGCAGTAACTAATATTTTTCTATATTCTTCTCAAAGAAGGAGAGAAAAGATACTCAAAACTCAGGTGTCCTTTGACTGTTTCTTAGCTATCTCTGGGAGTCAGAATCAAGTTACATTCTCTGGCACTCTGTATGTATTATTCAAACATGTCAAAGATATTTTAACAGTGATGCTAATGTACATAATTAACAGTAAATGCAATAATACAGTCTCAGCTATTCACAGATCACTCGTAAATGTTTAGAAAACTGAACGCATTGAAATGAGCAGTTCTAGAGGTGATCATTTGTAATCAATTTCCATTGAAATTCAGGCTAGGGCAGCAAGAATTCCATATGGAAAACTTAAGGCTGACCTAGCTTTGGAACTGAGTTTAGAACTCCAGAAAGAAACTCTATTTTGATTTCAATGTCTGCTGTCTACTTAGCAGAATGACTGATATGTATATAAGCATAGCGCTACCGGGTTAGAAAACTTTGAGTTTAAAGCATAAAGTGAGACATATTTCACTGAGTACTGTGATGGACACTCAGCCTCCCTGTCACAGGAGCCTGCAGATAGACAGGTCTTTTTTTGTGCTTTGTATTCATCCAGACTGCTTTCGCTCCCTCTGGAGGGCTTTTGAACTTGGATTTGACATCTCTTAAATTTATGATTTCTCTAAATGTAAAGAAGTTTTCCTTTCTTAGAGTTTTAGCCTAACTTAGATTAAAGAGAAGTATCTGAGGCCCTAGAAATTCAGTGTTTGTTTTTGACCTTTTTTCCACTTCTTTTGTTTTTATGAGGTTGAGCTTAAAACCCCAAAGTGGGGTATAATGGCTTTAGAGACAGGAAGGAAACATTCTTTCTTCTTTTTTCCAAGTGTAAAAAGCCCACAAGGCTCTTTTGTAGAACACCTACCTTAGAAGAACATTCTCAAAAGCCGTCTTTTTCTTCTTAATAGCATTAGAAGAGAGAATGTTCAGAAAAGATGACAGTCCAAAGTGTTGCTAATGTTAGACCCAGAAACAAGCTAAGTGGTTTATGGCCATATTCCCTGTTTACTATATATATTTGTCAAAACAGGGAATTTTTACATGAACAAAATGCTTTTAAAGGTCATTGGTTCTCAAATTCCACATTGAAGAATTTGTCACCAGAAGGACAAAAAAAATAGAAGTTCTCAGATGAGACACAATTATATATAATCATTATGACAATCTTGAGAAAGGATTAAAAGAATGATGAGGGGTGATGAAAACATCTGGGTTCTGAACAGGGTGGGAGGAAACATCTGTAAACATCAAGAGTTCTACCTAGAACCCCACATCCACTTTAGCTCATATAAATGCAAATAAGCAATTTTAGGCAAATGGCCAAAGAAATGCAATTACTTTACTTGACAAACTGGACACTATGCCACAGGCACTAAGTGCATGGAAGAAGGCAAAGTCCCTAGTCTGTGAATACATAGTATATACTTGAGGGCAGAGAATTCTTTTTTTATGCAACAGTCATATACATCTCTGATCTGAAGCTTGACCGTATGCAAGGCAAAATTGTTTCTCTTGTTAACAAGGATTTCATGAAAATAGCTATTATTTAACTAAAATCTTAGAAACAAACTGTGTTTAAAGACTCAGAGATCAAACCACATTCCCCTTTGAAATAGAATGCATGTCAACTTTGGAAAATTTAATTCAATTTCTTCTAACCATTATAGAGTATCTACTGCAAGGCAATTTTCCTCTGAATATGTTTGACGTAATATACTTAGAGCAATAAAGTCTATAGTTCATAAAAGCTAGTAAATAGTATTTTCTGCAAGTATCAAGATTATATTTCACACGATAAAAAACCACAGCGACACAGATAAAACATCAAGCAATCCCAGTGTTTACCTTGCACAGTCAGAGTGGCTGATGCTTCAGTTTTCCCCACCATATTTTCTGCGACACAAGTGTATGAGCCCATGTCACCAGCCATCACCTTCCGAATTTTCAAAGTATGATCGTCTCGAATTTCGTATCTGATGACATAATAGAAAAGAACAAATTTAAGTGGTTTTCATCTTCAAAGATCCGGTCATTATACTTATGCTTTATCTGGGCATTGGATCACATGCTACCATCCCTCTGAACAATGAAAGACAAAGTGTAAGATGTTTTAAGTTCCCAGAAAGGGTTTATTTTCATATGTAAATCAAGCTATTTTCTAAAAGAACATTCTTCATTTAGGTTGGCATTTTCCTCGAGTTATTCAGGTTAAAAGTTCAGCAAAGCCAGACAGGCGATACCTTCAGTCGAGTTCTTGGCCAGGATGGATAAAGGCTCTTCCAGATAGTAACCCAACATACTACTGGAAACATTAACAGCAGACCCCAATTCTATCCAAAGGAATACTGACAATGGATTGCTGTAGATGAGGAACAGCTGATCCTCCTGGAACAGGGACCTCTGGCTGACTAGATTTATCAGAAGGACAGATGGGGGCAATAGATGGGGGTCCTGACAACACAGTGGACATTGGCAGGGATGACAGAGTATGGAGGCTCTAGAGGGAGAAGAAGGCTGTTTATCTGACGAGTTTATATTCATACTCAGATGCCACGGAACTCAGAAAGTAAGTGACTGTGACCAGTAATAGTCATATATATAGAGATTAGAAATGCATGTGAAAACGTCTCAATGTCAGTTGCCTTAAAATGAATTTTTCTGTATGAAACTGTATTTTAACAACGAAGTGGAGATCTTTTCTAAACATTAAAACCTCATTTAATTTTATGTCTTGTAGAGTTTATAATCAGTAAAAGATTGTACAAGCGTAATAATTCCTCTGTAAACCTAAAAATGTACAGCCAATTTTGAAAGAGATGTACCCTAGCTCAGAAAAATGTTATTGAATAGGTTAATGCTGTTGTAATGAAATGCTTCTTCTAATTAAAAAAAAAAAGTTAGATGGAATTGAGTGTTAAGTCCCAAACTTTACAAGTTTCATGGATTTTACTGTTTTATATTCTAGTAAGAAGTTTACAAACCATCAGACATTATTTTGTACATGGGGAAAATGAGGACTTGGAAGGGGACACTTGTCCTTGTGCCTCTGGTGGTTTGGTGATGGAGCTGAATTCAGACAACTTCTTTATGAAGTTAAGAAGCCTTGCCTTATCTTTCCTCCCCTTCAACACTGGATTTCTCTTGACACTTCAATGGTCTTTTCAGTCTGTATGACCTTCCTGAGTTAAATTAGCTTCTATGGTCTCTATCTTGACAGTCCACATACATACTTTGAACTCCTACTATTCGTTAAGTTTCCCCATTAAATTCCCAACTGACTAATAATTAGCTATCCCGTCCCATAGTTTTGCAATATTTAACATTAAATGGAATTTTATTTTCATTTCCTAATATAAACATGATCACCTTTCATCAGCTCTCTGTATCTAACAAGTCATGTGTCAGTTTGTTCTCAGAAATTTTTCTTCTATCTGAGCTCTATTTTCATCAATATCCTAGGTCACAGAAACTTACCTCTCTTATCTATACAACCATAGCAGTGATGTTCCTGCTCCTGGCTTCTCTCTCTACAGAGCAGTATCTACAATGCTAGGAAAATTAATCATATCTTGAAAGTTAACCTTATTTATTTCAGCCTTTTGGCTCAGCAATGTCATAAAATGTGATCTGAAATTCTTTACTGCATGAAGACCTTGACTATTTGGCCCTAGGACCTCAAGACTGACATCTGATTATTGCTTACCATGTACTCTATGTATGAGCTAGACTAAACCTGTCCGCCACTCAGAATATATAGCATTCTCTCTCACATCTCTGCCTATATTGCAGCAGTCCTTATCTGGAGTAGTAGTCTCCTTTCTTGCTTATCAAGAATATATTTTCAAACCATTGCTTATTGTTTATATTCCTTTGAGAAGTCTCTCCTGATATTCTCTCCTATGGATACATAAGCCTATCTATGTGCCAAAAGAATTCAATAATGTTAGTGTGTATCTACCCATGTTTGCATTCTTTGGTTAGTTCTTTAGGAGTGGATACTTGCTCTATCTCAAAGATATACATACTACCAATATTTAGCAAGGACTCAACATTGCTACTCACTGACAGAGAAGACAGCCTGATGACAAAGTCAGAATGTTCTGCAATACTATCTCATCACTAGGGTTTCCTCATTCTCACATTTGTCCCTCAACAATTTAAGGATTTGATGGATGTCAAGAAATCCAGACTTCTACCATTTCCTAGTGATACCACAGCTAATAAAAAGAAAGTCCAATTTTTAGTTGGTTCAGATTTATGTCTTTAATGCTATATCATTCTTTCCCTTCCTATCAACTCTCATGCAAGAAGTTAGTAAGAACTGTGATTTGGCTGAGCAGAAGAGAAATATGTTGAAGGAATACTGCACGGTAGAACCATGAATACAGGATTCTTATCTGAAAGTTTCAGAGACAACATTGCGCCCTCCTGATTCTTTCTCCACGGTTCCGTCTTGACAATTGGACACAGACTCTATACATGACCTGTGACTTGTGATGGGAGGACTCCATGATAAATACATTATCAAAAGAAAAAAAGTACAAATCCAAACTGGATTTCATGTACCTAACCACCCACACAGCCCATTTTAGCAACACAGTGTAATAGAGACTCCTTGTTTTCTGTTCTGGTCATGGCACCTGGGCCTGGTACTGCAGTCCAGGATTGAATGGATCACAATGCTTATCATTATCCCAGGAAAGATTGGAATCTGAAGTATGGCTTATACAGTATATCACAGTCAGTTTCATGAAATAAAAATTGTAAGTCACATTATCAGAAGCGAAGGCTCTGACACAGACTAACAGTATGTGTGGTCTGATTAGAAAGAAATTCAGAGTTGGTGAGTCACGCTGTTAAACCATGATCTGTACCTGGATTTGGGCAGTTCTCCATCATCTTTCCTCCATCGGACTGTAGGCACAGGGTCTCCTCGGGCCTCACATTTAAATTCTGCACTATCATCCACAGTTACTGCCAAGTTACTGGGTCTCTTCACAAATGATGGTCTCTCTAGAATTAGAAAGAGACACCTCAAGATAAAAGATGAATAACCCCCAAATCCTTTAGGATTGTTCAGTGAGAAGAAAATTCCTATTTGCAGCATTACTTAGCACATTATTCCACACAGTTGCCTGCCTCAGAAGACTTCTCACTCTTTCAGACTCCCCCTTACTTCGCCATTCCTACCATCGTCTCTTTCATCCCAGGTTGCTTGATGATTCTTCTCATCCCTTCCTTTTTCCCCCAAATACCAGATGCCTGATATTTCTTTCTCTCATATGTGAAAGGTTATTTACACTTTGATTAAAGATGATTTTCTCTTTCGTATAAAGATACACAATAATAATAATGAGTCCCTTATTCAGGAATCAGATGGAAATGGATAAAATTACCCTTACCTAAAACAGTCAGCTCTGCAACTTCGCTCTCACGTTCCCCGACCATGTTGGTACCAACACAAACATACTTGCCAGCATCGCTTTTACGGGTATAAGTAATCATGAGCTTTCCCCCCCGTATCTTAAAAAAAAAAAAAAAAGAGCAGTTTGACATTTATATGATTAAAATACCAGATGCCTGATATTTCTTTCTCTCATATGTGAAAGGTTATTTACACTTTGATTAAAGATGATTTTCTCTTTCGTATAAAGATACACAATAATAATAATGAGTCCCTTATTCAGGAATCAGATGGAAATGGATAAAATTACCCTTACCTAAAACAGTCAGCTCTGCAACTTCGCTCTCACGTTCCCCGACCATGTTGGTACCAACACAAACATACTTGCCAGCATCGCTTTTACGGGTATAAGTAATCATGAGCTCCCCCTCGTATCTTAAAAAAAAAAAAAAAAAAGAGCAGTTTGACATTTATATGATTAAAATACCTTTATTGGGCTAGTGGTCTACATAAACGAAGTCTATTTTCTAAACAATAAATCAATACATAATTAAGTCAAACAGTGGTGTGTGCTATTTACTGTTTTCATAGGTAGTAACCTTAAAGGGAATTAATTCCAAATATACAATATAGAAGAAAAACATTTTTGTTTACCTCCACTTCTGGTGAAGTTTCAATATTCTGTATAAGTATTCATTTATGTGTAAAATAATCCAAAATGCTTTATATAACTTGGTTAATGGAAAACAATCACAGAAATTATAAATTGATTAGCAAGTTGCAAAAACATAAACTTATGATTAAGTACTATAGCATTATACCTAATATGAAAATATGAATCAAGCGAAGTTATTTACAATATGCATAAGATCTGTGAATAAAAGCTTCTGTATTTAGTTTTCCAGAGTTGCTTTAAAGGAATATGTTTTACTTGTCAAATTATGCTAAAAACCTCTTTTTTTCCCTCTGATAGATTTTTTGGAAGGCTGCTTTGCTTACCACTATACCACTATACCATCATGAGGGAACTTAAGCAGCAACAGCTGAATTGATCACAAAAATCAACTGGAAAGGCACATATGGTATTCTCTTAAACATTTCATTGAATAAAAATTATTTAAAATGTACACAAATATGCATTCCAAGAGCTATATTGAAGCAGAAGTTAAACAAGAATTAAGATTGGGTTGTAGAAATTGACTATCTTTATTTAACACACCTTTGGTTAGAGAGTGAGTTCCATTACTGTTGAATGTAATAATGCTCTGAACTTCAGAAAGGTTTTACAAGGGATAATTTTTACAGTATTTATTCATGGAGGCTTTGAATTTACAATTACTCTTCATAGTATACTGATTAAAGAAAGGAGAAAAGATTTTAAAAATGAGGGAAGAGAGAGGGTAGGGAGGATAAAAGAGAGGGAGGGAAGAAAAATGAAAGCATTCAAATACTTTTTTTTCTTTTTTCAGAGATGAGGATTGAACCCAGGGCACCTTACATGCTAAGCAAGCATTCACCCCCGAGCTGTACTCTCAGATCCTCAAACCTGAGTTTGTTTACTTTGCTCATCATAACTTCTGGAATTGATTGAGACTGCTACTTTGTAATTTTGAATGCCAAAATTGTTCATTTCTGAACAGTGAAACCAGATATATATGTCATATTAGAACAAACCAAACATTAACAGGGAGGTTTAAATTTCTGCGCTCTTAGAACTTGATACCTTCTGGTAGTTTCAGAAGTGAATAATCAGATATTCTACGGTCACACTGGAATGATCTTCCAAGGATTATTCTCTGCATTGCTTACTACTCTGTCCTTTCCATATAATGAATATAGAAATATATCTAGAACAATGTCTGAATACAGTAGTTACTGAAGAGATTTTTGTTGACTGCAAAGTAGAATTACATACAAAATCTAATCTGTTATCTAATATGATGTATTTTATAAAGGGTTATAACAGTTGTAAGATACATTAATCTAAATTTTATGTTGTCATAAGCACTTAACTATTCAAATAATACAAAGAAGAAAATAAATGTCATAATAAAAAACTTCCAAGTTAAAATATTATTAATATACTGTGTATTCCTTTAGCTAGCTGAATGAATATATATTACTCATATACACATACAGCAAATATCTCTATACATGTACATATGCACTGTTAGACAGTTTTACAAAGTAGGATCGTGTGACATATGCTTTACAGCCTGCATTTTCAACTCAAAGGAGGATTTTTAAATATTTTAATTGTTTAAGATATCATACACAAATATTCAGTATCAACTTATGTGGTTTTACCATACAATACTATCAAACCATTTTCTTACTGATAAGCATTTAAGAGCTTTTATTTTTTCCCTTTAAAATGGCATCTTTCTAATATGTATGATCAATTTAGAATATTTCAGTATCAACTTATGTGGTTTTACCATACAATACTATCAAACCATTTTCTTACTGATAAGCATTTAAGAGCTTTTATTTTTTTCCCTTTAAAACGGCATCTTTCTAATATGTATGATCAATTTAGAATATCTCAATACAATTATTAAATCAAATGTAGAAGCCAAGCATGCTGGCTCATGCCTATAATCCCAGGACTCTGGAGGCTGAGGCAACAGGAATGTCATGAGTTTAAGACAACCTGGGCTATAGAGTAACACTGTGGCTCAAAGGAAAAAAAAGGAGAAACAAAATCAAACTAGAATGAAACAAACAAAAACAAATACCAAAGCAGACCTAACTTGAGGCCAGTAGTTCATCTTACTAACTTTATGTTCTGGAGGGTTTGAGTGCGTGCGTGCATGCATGTGTATGTGTGTTCATATAACTAATTTTTTTTCTTTAAAATTACCTTGCCCTGTGACTGCATAGAGATATGTAATATCCTCGCTTTTCAAGGAAGGAACCAGTACATATAGTCCCGCCTCCCATGTGTTTCCACTATGCCCATCATAATAGGTTTTAATTATAATCTGAAAATCAAGTCTTTTTGACTGTGAACTATGGGTCAAGGGAGCTTCTAATTCTTCTTCAGAGACCTAGAATCTGCCACAATGCCTTTAAAAAGTAACATTTTGGGGAGAGGAAAGTGGCATGGTCAGTGTTATGAAGCAAATTCCCACAGGACTGAGATTTCAGGCAGGGGATATGTGTCTTTGTTTTTGTAAGCTGTGTAAAGGACAGTAAACATAAAATCTGAAACTCATGATCTTACTGTTTAATAAATTTGCATTTAATAAACTTGAGTTATTAGAACTTAGAACCAGCTGAATATCACAAGGTCCAGATCCTCCTAGGATCTACTGTCCTCTTTTATTACGTATTTATTCTGAAACACTCACATAAAACGTTTCCAAAATTTGGGGGAGCAAATTTATTCCAGCAAAATGCAGGATAAAACCCCCAAGCCTGCAATCGAAGGTATTTGAGGAGTGGTCTTGTGTGTCCCCTGGTTGGTTCTATAACTATGGACTTAAATATGGAACTTCCTCTAACACCTAGGAGTCTAAGCTTGAATGCCCATGAATACTTAGGAAAAGAATTCATTTCAGAGGGCACAACACAGTATTTAAGTTATAGCAAAATAAGAGGAAGCCAACAAAAGCTTTAAGGGTTCCTTTGATCAGAATTCAGTAAGTCAGCATGCTAATCTCCAACAAAATGTAATGCTTTGAGAATATTTTTAAAACATTCAAAAATGTAAAAATAAGAGCCAAAAGAATAACATATGATAGGTATAATTTCTAACAGTAGAGAGTTCGTCCTACAGCTTCCATAAGCATACTATTTATTTACATTTACAATTTTTAAATACATGGAAATGTACAGTTTTCAGTCAACTGGCATATGTACACATGGGACATCAATTAACATTATATGTCACAACCCAATGTTATTATATATTGAAATTTTGGGGGAATTCAGTTAAGAAAAATTATGCTAGAGCTTCTGGGAGTGGCGCAGCATGGACTGATTCCAACTGTAAGAAGAATGGGAGGAAACAATAGTTAAGCTCAAGCTAAACTCAAAGAAAGCTACAGCATCCTGAAGAGTTTACAATGCATGCCTTGCTATTATAATTCCAACTACCATAAATTCGTTCAGTTCCGAAATACAGTCTACAACTTAATCTACCATGAGACCTGCATTTGTTCCATTTATTGAAGTTTTAGTACTGAATATAAATAGAAAAAACCTTCTATTTTATAAACATGCACTTTTCAGACTTTTTAAAAAAGGATTAATTTAGAAACAAGTAACTCCTGTGTTTTCTGTGTTGCTATCATTTCGTCTCAAAGGATGATATGTTAGTGGGGGCTATCACACTACTGTCTCCCTGGGGATTGCAGCAGTATCTGGAGGTTGACTAGGTTATCTGAACCAGGAGCAGGGTGCATTGTCATTGAGGGGATAGGCCACAAACACTGCTAAAACTACAATACACAGAGTCATTCTCCACATCAAAGAATTACTTACTTCAAAATGTCAGTGTTGCTGAAACTGAGGAACTTTGTTCTAAAGACCTAACATTGGACAAAAGATGAACACAGGTGCCTTTAAGCACTTTAATACCAACCCATCAATCTTCAACAATACTCCAACCAACAAAACCCTATCAGTACAATTTCATTATAAAATGCAACAGGACTTTTTTTTTTTTTTTTTTTTTGAGACAGGGTCTCACTATGTATCCTTGATTATCCTGGAGCTCACTACATAGATCAGGTTGCCTAGAGTTCACAGAAATCTGCCTGTTTCTGCCTACCTAGTGTGAGTACTAAAGGTGTACACCACTACACCTGGACAACATGGCAATTTATGCTCAATGGCAAGTTGTGTAAAGATTCCAAAGCCTAGAAGAAGCTGTTTTTTATCCATTCATCCATTGATGAACATCTAGGTTGTTTCCCCTGTTTGGCCATTGTGAATAGTAATGAACATGGATGAGCAAATATCTCTGTAGTATAACTTGATCTTACGGTAGCTCTATTTATAACTTTGGAGGAACCTGTACACTGGCAATGAAAATATGCATTCATATATACAATGGAGTAATATTCAGCTGTAAAGAAGAAAGGAATGATGACATTTGCAGGTAAATGGATGG